GGGATACAGTGTAAACAAACAGGGCGCTCGGCACAGCCTGTCCCCAGCTGTGCCCTGGGCTGCCCTTGCGGTGGGCGGTAAGGATTTCAAAACCTCTTCCTCTTCCTCATTCTTACGCCATCCCTGCCGTCCCGAGGAGCTTGCTGACTCCCGTGTCTTCATTCTGCCCGATTCTCCCGACTCCAGACATTCTGTGTCCACCGACGGGTCACAGCCCACACACAGCCCAGCAGAGCACCACCAGCCACCACCGTGGCACCGTTCCCCCAGCACAGACACTCCGCACAGCCTCCTGCCGTGTCAGCCCTTAAAGCCCCTCCCCTGCAGGCCGCTGAGGCGGTGACGCGGTTCTTTCTGTTTGCTCTAGAGCAGGGGTGGGGGCCCTTTCTCTGCCAGGGCCATTTGGACATTTATAACATCATTTGCGGGCCATACACAATTATCAACTTAAAATTAGCTGCTGTGAACAGCCTAAAACCCCTGATCTTATAGAGCTTAAACTTTAGTACTGGGGTGGTGAACTTTTTTTTCTAGCAAGAGCCATTTGGATATTTATAACATCATTTGCGGGCCATACACAATTATCAATTTAAAATTAGCTGCTGTATTTGGTCAGACCTTTAATTAACTTACCCCTAATGCCTTGGCACGGCAAGACCACATGATTTCACGGGCCTTATATGGCCCTCGGCCCTCGGGGCGGACCTTCCCACCCCTGCCCTCAAGGGAAACAGGCCTGAGAGGAAAAGGAACATTCCACATGCCGTGAGCCCTTCCTGTGTGCCAGTGAGAGCACTTCCTGTGTGCCAGTGACGGGCTTTGTGGGCCTCGTGTCGTTTCATTCTCACATAGAGGGGGTGGCGCCCCCGGGCACCCTGTTGTACAGATGAGGAAACTGAGGCCTGGTGGGGGTGGGGCCTGTGCCCAAGAGAAGGGGCCAGGCCAGTGAGAGGGCCTGGGTTTGATCGGCACGTCACCCCCACGGGACAGGAGTGAGTGACACTCGCTTCCCACGAGGAGACGAGGCTCAGAGAAAGCCTGTGCCTGGCTCCCATCACTGTCAGTGGGCAGAGCGGGGGGCACTCCAGGCCAGGCAGGCATGTGGGTTCCCAGGCCCCCGGGCAAGAGACAGATGACACCGCGCTGGGCTGTGGTGGCCCAGTCACGGGTCGGGCACCGCGAGCCCTGCAGGTGGAACAGCAGGTGGATGCGCTGTCAGCCCCTCGCACAGATGGATGAGGGAGGGAGGGGCCTGCCCAGCTGATGGACGGAGCTAGGGGCCCCGGGACAGACTTGTTTTCCTGCCCGCCTTTGTCTCAGGAGTCTAGATGTGTAACAGGAACTTTCTGGAAAGGCAGTCGGGACCATGGGGCTCAGATGTGTGACGTACAGGCAGTGGCTGCAGGGCGGGCGGGAGCAGCCTGAGCATCGAAACGCCACGAGGACACTGCTTTCTTCCTTCTCTCTGTCCTTCCCTGTCCCCCCCACCTCCTCCTGGCTCCTGCTTCCTCCCCGTCTCTCCCTTTATCCTCCTCTCCATCTTCCCCGCCTCTACCTTGAATGGAATAAAGATGGCAGGAGAGAGTCACACCATAATGGGTGCAAAAGCCAGCAGTGCCCGCTGTGTGCCAGGCAGACCAGGGACAGCTGGCGTGGCCGTCGCGCTCTGGGGAGGACAGTGCCGTGGCAGTCCCGTAAAATGAGTCCCGGGAAGAAATGGAAGCCAGGCCCCAGGGGAGAGGTGCTGGAGGGCCGGGAGGAAAGAAAGGAGTAGTAGCCAGTCCCCCCACCTGTCTGAGGAGGTGCTTCTCTCCAGCTACAGATGGGGAAACTGAGGCCTTGCCCAAGGTCATGTGACTGAGAGCACAGTGTGTCCATCTGGCTCCCGAGGCCCTTTGTGAGCCGGAGGGAGGGAAGGAGGGAGGATGGGGGGCTCAGCTCGCTGCCCGCCCCCAGGGAAGATGCTGATCCTGGGCTCCATGTTCCACCTGGCGGAGCCCGTGCTCACCATCGCGGCCGCCCTCAGCGTCCAGTCGCCCTTCACCCGCAGTGCCCAGAACAATCCGGAAGGTGCGGCAGCGCGGCGGCCCCTGGAGAGTGACCTGGGCGACCCCTTCACGCTCTTCAATGTCTTCAACACCTGGGTGCAGGTGAGGCCGGTGGGGACGCCCCTGTCTGACTGTCAGGCACAGAGTCAGGGCCTCCCTGCGGCTGTGGCTCCTCCTCATGCCCCACCCCCAGCCCATGGACTCCACCATTCTGACCAGCACGTGCAGAGCTCAGGCCCGAGGGGAGCCTGGGCTTCTAAAGTGCCATTAAAACCAGACTCCTAGGGTAGCACCTGTTTATCCCAAAACACGTTCCCTGAGCCCCCCCCTCCCCCTGCCCCGGGCCTGGCCCTGTGCTGGGCAGTCCTGGGACCCGGTGATGAGCAGTACCACCTGGCCCTGCCCCTCTGGGGATTACAGTCCAGTGCAGGAGGTCAAACCTGTCCCTAGACAGTGACCACCCAGACTAGGCTGCAGTGGGGAGCACAAGGGGCTGAGAGAGGCTGGAGCGGGTGTCGGACCCAGTGTGGTCTGGGAGGGCTTCCTGGAGGAAGGGGCAGTGGGGCTGAGACCTGGAGGAAGGGAGAAAGCAGGTGTCATGGAGGGCCGACGGGTCTCTACCTGCCTTGCATCTCCCAGTGGCTGGTGTTCAGGCCCATACTGGAGCGGTCTGGGTGGGAGGTCAGCCCCCCACCCCTCCCCCAGCTGGCCAGGCCCCAACACCTGGCATCTACCTCCACCAGGTGAAATCTGAACGGAGCAGAAACTCCCGGAAGTGGTGCCGCCGCCGGGGCATAGAGGAGCATCGGCTGTATGAGATGGCCAACCTGCGGCGCCAGTTCAAGGTGAGGCCCAGGACCAGGGGTGGAGGCCAGCCCCCCCACACACCCCCAGGCAGACAGGAGGCCAAGGTGGTGGGGAGACAGAGTGAGGGCACCTGAGCGCACTCTGGAACGCAGCCTCTTTCCTTCTCTACCACAGTGGTCAGGGTCCCACCCTGCACCCTCCTCCCCCACCAGCTGACGACCAGGCGTGGGGGTGGAAATCCAGGAGGGCTCCTGGGGGTGGCGCACAGGGTCAGCGGTCACGTGCTGCATCCTCATGGGCCAGGGGTGCGGAGCTGGCCGTGCGCTTGCTCAGGCGGAGAGCTAGGAGCAAGCGCAGAGGCACCAGATCTGGGGCCAGACATCCCAGCGGCACATCCCAGCTCTGCCATTGGCTAGCGGTGTGACCCCGGGCAAGCTCCTGGGCCTCTCTGGGCCTCAGCCGGGGAAGTAACAGCCAGCAGCCCCGACTGCTCTCTCACAGAGCGGTCATCTGCGCCTGCGCTGTGCAAAGGTGGCACATGTCAGCCCCAGCAGCCTCGTGGGCGGCATCGGGAGCGTCCCCGGTTCCCATCTGAGGAAAGTGTGGCTCAGGCTGACACTGCCCGCCGGCGAATGGCAGGCCCCACTCTTTGAATGTGTCAGTCCAGAGCCTGCCCCGCCCCCCGGCCTGCGCTTTGTCCCTCACTGGGCCCATCTGCCCCCAGGAGCTGTTGGAGGACCACGGGCTGCTGGCCGGGGCCCAGGCCGCGAAGCCGGGGGACAGCTACAGCCGGCTGCAGCAGC